TATTGAACTCTAATCCCAAACTCACCCACACCCACACCCACACCCTGTGGGTGTGGGTGGGTGTGGGTGGGTGTGAGGTGTGGGTGTGAGGGTGTGGGGGTGTGAGTGTGGGTGTGGGTGTGGGTGGGTGTGGGTGTAAGTGTGGGTGTGGGTGTAAGTGTTGGTGTGGATGTGGGTGGGTGAGGGTGGTTGGATGTAGATGTGAGTGTTATTGAACTCTAATCCCAAACTCACCCACACCCACACCCACACCCTGGAAGTGAGGAATGAAACAAATAGATATGCTTTAGCATTTTCGTAGTACTCTTTCTTCAGAAAAAATCTTTACTATCAAAGACAAATAATTTTGATTGTTTTAAAACATTCTTGACCTTCTGAAGAAAAAAAAAAGACGCCAGATATATTTATTTTCGTTTTTTTTTGTCTTATTACCTTTAATTGTAAACCTCCATTCGTTAAATTTCGAAGTCAACGCATTTTTTTCGATAACCACAATAACTCAAATAATTAGAATCTGGACTCTTTGGTAACTAGTTTATCTCTAGTTTGATATATGATAAATTTTATTAGAAAATGTTGATGAAACCACACATTCAACAATACATAAAGAGACATTTGTCAATAAATTTCTTACGATTTCTTCGAAATTACTATTGATTCGATTGTTTTTCTTTCATGCTATCTACAGAATAAGACTCACTCTATGTAATATCGATAAATAATCAATCTCGAACAAGAGACCTAAACTTAGAGTACTTATCGTTTATATCTCATCAAATATGCCATTACTGAATAAATATAATTCTTAAACACATAAAATTTACGCAATCAAGAAAATGAAGCAATTTATTTTTTTTTTCTTCGTGAGCTATAGAAATAACTTTTGCTAGTGTAACAATGACGTACTCAAAATTTACCCGTTTTACTCTGTAACTTGTCAAGATATACTTACATCTGTATATGAACAGAGAAAAAAAACACTATCTTCTCGTTCCTCAAAATGCCAATGTATACATGATATTTATGAAGGAAAAGAACACAAATAAACTAATGAATCATCTTGTATTCAAGTAGAGAAAAAACACCGATTAGTAGTAACCAAATAATGTATATCAGAAGAACAGAACTTATCGAAATGATTGAATTCTGAGCGCCCTAGTTTTACATATGGCTTCAAAAAATTAAGTTGGACACAGCCTAGTTCATCGGTATTAACTGAAATGTATGTGTGATGTCCGCAGAAAACAGATTTAAGTTCTAATTTGTGGATTTCTCCATTGAATAGGATTCATCGATACCTTTTCGTTATTTTTGTTTCTGTCATTTAAAGAAAATCTTTGTTCTTGTTTTTTTTACATTTTGTTTCAAATTCTTTCTGAAATGAACGTCAATTAAATGGAACATAAGAATAGAATAATGAATGCGAATGGTATAAAAAAAGGTCGAAAGAAAAAATGTCGAATGATAAAAATATCGAAAAAAAACATCGAAACTACAAAGATCGAAAAAAAAACGTCGAAAATTTGAACATAAAATAGATGTGAATGTGGAGTACGAATCAGAGTCATGTAGAGTAACGTTTAAGTAGCGACTCATAGAGTAAGGTAGGGTTAGCCTTGAGGAAGAAAAAGTAGATTCAAGATCTTGGTGAATGTCCATGGAGTAGAGCTCATCGGGTCGAATATTTTTCGGACCAGGACTGGAACTCGGACCCGATTGATTAAACGTTTTGGACTCGGATCCAGATCCGAACGCGGTTGATTGAGATTTTTTGGACCTGGACCCGACAGGCTCTACCATGGAGCCAGATGAATCTACTTGGCTCTATATTGATCACAAAGATCCATTAGAATCTATTAGACTCCATGGATCCAAGATTGATGTTTTTTAGTCTTGGTTAGACTGGCCGGACGTGGAAAGCATGAAGTAAGAGTGTAAAACTTTTAGACTAGAAAGAGGATAGAGTACGGCAATGCCTTTCCCTGCAGGATTCTAGTATGAATATGGATGGGAATTTTCACTTGGTCGACACTCACAATTTTTTCGACATTTTTACACATTCGATATTTTCATCGTTCGATAATCTTTTTTTCTACCTTTTTTTATTTCGACGTTTTTTCTTTCGGCATTTTTTTTCGATGTTTTTTGTTTCGACATTTTTGTTTCGGCCTTTTCTATGCATACCGTGAATGCAAGTGATTCTATAGGTTACTTAGAAATATTACGCGGAAAAAACGAAAATAGCTTCAGATCCTTAAAAATTGTTTAAATATAGTCCTTTTCGTCTCAAGATCCACGACGTGAGTTTTTGACAAAAAATGATCTTGTTTTACAGTATCAATTTGTACATTTTAATGAAATTTCCTATTAAGAATTGCTGTAAAATATGTTTCTCAATAAGTAGCACTTTTACTGTATTCGACGTAAGGCAATTTTTTTCCAGTCGTAGTACATTTTAAAAAAAGATTTAATTTTGTGAAGTAGATAAAAACCAATGAAAAGATAGAAACCACCGGACACTAGAAGAAATTTAGTAATTGATTTATTACTTAGCAATAGTCTTCTTCTCAAATTCATCCAAAACTTTCGATAGCATAAAAATAATGAAACAAAAATAAACATGTGTTTTTGAAATTCATGGGTGTGGGTGTGGGTGTGGGGGTGGGGGTGTGGGTGTGGGTGTGATAACTCTTCATGTTAACCCACACCCTCAATTTCGAAAAATTGATCTTTACAAGTTTTTGTTGATATATTTATCATTCTTAGATCAAATATCATTGAATTATTCACCGTTGGATAGAACGTCGCGAGTACTTTAATTTGACATAAAAACATATGGGTTAGACATTTTCCTTGATATAAATAGAAGTCAACATTGTTGCGCCTCAAAACTTATGAAACACCCTGTATATATAGACTTTGCTAAAAAAATACAGTATTCAACGAAATAATCATCAAACTCGTATTGTAATTCTAAAGAATTTGCAACGTTTTTCTTTTCCCCTGGATTTCAGTAAAATATTTTTGATGAGTTAAAAAGATATTAGGCTTTGAAAGTTAATTCTTTATTCATTTACTTCATGTTTCAAGCACACAACCTGGTTTTGAGCTCGCCATAATTATCTTACTTTCTTTAATTATAGAAAAGGATTAAAATTTAGCGAATATATGGATAGAGTAGCAACATCGAGCAAAGAAAAATGAATGCAATTTTTGTTAAAGCACTATATATAGATTCAAAAACTATTACAGTATTCACAGTAGAAAATTTAAAAAGTAGCACAAACCGACAATGTCTACATGGACTCCAAAACCAGATCCATTGCCGTGGGATACTATTGAGTTAATCATTGGTGGAATTATTCCAATAGGTCTCATTGTAATTGGTACATTGGGTAATATTTTATGTATTGGTATCTTACTATCTGAAGCTCATCGACAAACATCAACTAATGTTTATTTAATATTTTTATGTTTGATGGATACAATATCACTTTATCAATGGAATTTAAGTCGGGCATTACAGGTGTTTACAAATAATAAACAAACAATGTGGGGTTCATCATTGATTATGTGTAAATTGAGTCAATTTTTTCCTTATTATACATTACATACATCAGCTATATTTCTTACATTTGTTGAACTTGATCGAGCTTGTTTATTAAGAAGTATTTGGTTTAAAAATAAAATAGCTCGACCACGTATTGCATTGATAATTTCAATTCTTATTCTGATTTGTTTTCTTGCAATAGATGGATTTTTATTTGGATTAGGTTTTGAAACTTCAACATACAATAATAGTACGGGTACAGTACAAACAAAAGTTTCATGTTTCTATTCTTTAAATACTGACTTTTATAATTTCTATGTATATCCATATATAACTGTAAGTATTTTATTAATAATGATTAGTAAAAATTAATGTTGTTTTTTTTTCTGTTAAAGATGCATTTAGTTATCATGTATATTATACCATTTAGTGTTATTGTTATTTGTACACTTTTAACAATTAACAAGTTATTCATAGGGCAAATATCAACAAATGAACAATTAGCAAGAAGTGCTTATCGTAATCGTCGCATATCCTTTATGTTATTATTCATGTGTTTGGCATATATTATTTGCACATTGCCTAATCGTTTATGTTTTTCTGTATTCAAAGATCAGATTATGGGTCATGATTATACAGATACGGTTCTTCTTGGTTCAAATACTCTAATGTATGCAAGAAATGCTATTGATATATTTTTTCTTTATATATCTATTCCTGCATTTCGTGAAGACGTTAATAAATTAGTTTTTAAATGTATTCGTAAAGTGCCAACTGAGAACGAGCTAATGCAGCGAACACAGCAAACACGACAAACAACAACGCGGAACAATAACTAATGAAAAAATGTTTCCATATGAAAGTTATAAGAATGCCGCGAATTAATAACATTGCTTATATAATTCATTGTTGTATTAGAAATTTAGCTTGATATTGTGATTGTAAAATTGTTGTGTACTTGTACAATAAAAATCATTTGCCTGTCGTAATCCATGAATCATTCTTTTTATGGCAAAACATAATCGGCTTATCATAGAACATTAGAGACTTTGCCTGTTTAGTAGAGTTAAGGAAGTCGCTGCAAAAGAACCAAAACAAATCATAATCAATCGATCTTAACGATTGCAATGAAAATTTGTCTATACGTGGTTTCAATTGGAATTTGGTAAAGGCTAAAATTTTTCGTTCCAAAATCATTTCCTCTGATGAGGCATTGTAATCGTAACAAAAGCATTCTTAGCTGAAAAATAACCATCATTACCGTGGTACCCATTTATTTCACGTTTTCGCCATTTTTAATGAAGAAATTTTGTGAATACACACTACCATAGATGTGCTACAGACTAACATGATCAGGAAGATTTTTCCATTCGCTAGGTGGTGTTGAAGTATTTTAGAGAATCTAGATGAATCCTTTGTCTAGTGAATAAGAATTTTATGTCTTGTGATTTTCAAAATTTTGGATATTTAGTTTTGTTCTGAATAAGAGTATTTTTTCAGTTTCTGTGCATCTTAATTTCTGTAAAATTCAAACACATTTCGAGAAAAAAATAGTGAGGACAGTAGAATTGACTCACTTAAAGTTATGCTGTAAAATTGAGAGGTTTAAGAGTTTGGAAAGTATCGTTCTGAAAGAGTGGAATTTATAAGAATCGAGTTTATGTGAGTCTCGCAGTACCTACTGAACACTACAAAGTTATGGAAAAACTGATGTGATGTCTTGTAGAAGGATTCTTAGGAACTTATTGCGAAATAAAAAAATAAGACCTTTTTCTATAGCCAATGAAGTAAAGTTTACTTTAAAACTTACTCGAAGAATTTCACCATGCGCGATAGATTCTTTTTAACGGAAATTAGCAGCTGATCCTGTATTTGCTACCGTAAAATCATCCTTTCGAAACGAAAAAATACTTTCTTGTGAGGATTATTGTAGATTTGGTCCGCGACTTAACTGTTGATGTTGTCTGAGCTGAATACAAGAACTTCCTACCTGAGCACATATTTAAAACTCTGAGTAATAATTACCTTTCTCTTTGTTTTGAAGTATAGTGTTTCAACTGCTTAGTTATAGTTTATTATATTATAACATTTCATGAATAATCATTTGAAAGTACTACTTTCAGCAAAACAGAAGATGTAGATAAGGTTTTAGCCGTACTTCTTTTTGATGATATGTCAACAGTACATGCTGAACGATGGACTCATGGAAGAAAACTGATTTCAGCAATTAATCAGATTATAATATATAAGTATCGTAAATGGAGTCTCAGTGTAAAAGGGCATAAAAGACAGACGTTATTTCTATTATTCATTAATTCATCCACGCGTTCCATAGAAATTAACAATTAATATATTATTGATGCAACTACAAAATTAACAACAATACGAAAGAGAACTGTCATTATTCTGTTGAACGACAGATAGTGACAACATTCTTAGTAGCTATAAATACTGACGTCAATAGTAACAAGAGATAATTACTGACCGAGTTTGATCAATGGATAAGCGCTGACGTCATCTTATTGAGAAAGGGGTATTGGTGTAATCAATGAGAAGAATCTCATTTCGGATCATTTTCGGATCATTCGAATGAATTGGAATAATTCAAAATCACTACTCACATACTTTTTTACGAGCAAGTATGTATATGAATATTTTAAAAATCTGATTTCAAGTAGAAATGTAATAAATCATTAACATAATTTGAATTTGGAAGTTTAAGCTTGGATATAGTTTGAATCTAATATATCAATTCAGATTTGGAAATAAATAAGTATAAATATGTTACATTATCATTATTATTTTTGAAGTCGTCAGGTGCTATTCTATTCAAAAAGCATATGCAACAAGTAAGACTTCATTGTGAAAATACAAAGCATTCTTTTGATTGTTATTCCCGTTCTGTCATAGCTAATTGAGCACTGTTCTTGACTTTCAATTTATGCTTTAGAAAAACCCTAGATATACTACATCATGTTATTCTGTTATAATTAAAGAATTATAATATTTTATAATTATATGTCAAACAAATACAGTAAAATCTCTCTTAAGTCAACACCATCGGAACTTTTCAGAAGCATTCAGTATTCTGAGATGTTCACCTATGAGAGACGTCATGCATTTTACAACACGAGAAAGATAAATTTCTGAAGCTCAGTTTGGGTGTGTAAAATGAAACAAAACCAGATAGACTTATATTTCTCTAATACAAATCAATCTGCTAGTCTCAACTCTTTCTATTCAGCAACCAATATTCTCTCGAGTAATAAATTTAATTTGCATGAAATAAATATGCTTAAAATAAAATAATAAAAATTAATGCAGTTATATTTTTACCGACGTATTTTATGTTATTTATTTAAAAATACAACACTTTTCCGGGCACTGCGTTAGAATTAAAAAGCACAAAAGTTAAAATTAAAAAAGAAAGAAAAATTTTTAAAAATGAACTGGTTTAATATTAAAGAAATTATAAAAATTAAAGGTACAGATTGAATAGTATGAACTAAAGATAAACAACATTAATTGAAGATAAGGCTCATTCTCAAAAGAGACACAATTTTTCTTTAAGATGAATGATATTAAACAAGTAACGTTCGTCGGTTCGACTCACTTGACCCTCGACTGTATAAAATAGAAGTATATTCCGCATGTGTTGTAATGAAAGAATTGGTTTACCAGCTTTATCATAATAACTGACTTAAACTTCTATTTGTTGAATTATATAGCCGAAGAAATTGATCGACCTATTTGTAAAATACTTCAGGATAAACTTTGCTTTTCAATTATTATTTTCTCAAAAAACCCTTTTCTTGACCCTAAAAACACAATTCAAAATTTTGAGAAGCTGACTTCAAATTCGGATTCCCCGACCCCCATTTACTTTCATCAACCTTTATAAAATATCATTATTTTCTCAAAAAACTCTTCCCTTAACCCTAAAGCAATCACTTCAAAATTTTTAAATTCTGACTTCAGATTCGGATTCCCCGACCCCGATTTACTTTCGTTAACCTTTACGGAAAATTTTCTAAAGTGGAAGTTTTTTTGACCTCGATGCAAACACACAAACACACACATACAAACTATTTTTTTTTATATGACCCTCCCTACAGTCGAGGGAAAAATTCACTATTTAAAACATTTATAGCTATTTAAGTTTATTAGTTTTTTTACGTAGTTACATGATGATTTAAACTTAGAATAAGTGTTTTATCAGATGTATTACTTTGCAGGTTTCTCTTATGTTTTTATGGTTTTCTATGTTTAAGAATTATTATGATCGTTTACTGTTTTTCTATTTAATTTTAGTCATTTATGTATCTGAAAT